TGATAGGTTCGGTTGGCGTGATTCGATTGACAGTCGTCCGGAAATTCGTATCAAATCAACAATATCTTGCTGACAAATACAATTGCCACCCTGCAACGATTCGCAAAATGTCGAGGCCAGCAAAGAAGCTCACGGTTTCCACTCTGATCGGTGCCGCTGCCGACAGCATGCCTTGGCACCGATCGAACCCGAGCGCCCCGCGAACCTTGGACAGCACCAAGTGGTGTGCAATGGCGTACCTTTATGGGGTGCCGCCGCCTTTGCCGTACTGGCTGCGTCATGCTTGGCAGCACCGACGCTCTTGGCCCACGTGACAAGGCGCTTCTTCAACCCCGTCGTGCCTCGCCCGATCGAGATCATCTTCTCCATCATTTTCTCCCACACACGAGGGACAGCAAAGAACAGCGTCGGCCGTGCTTCCTTCAGCGTCGTGCCGAGACCACCCTTGAGTGCATCAGGCTGGGCAAAGTAGATGGCCATACCTCGCGCCAGCGGCAAGTACATGTCAAATAGTTGTGCGGCCACGTGAGATAGTGACAAGTACGACACCGTGTTCCCGTGCTCGTTCAAGACGATCCCAGTGCGCTCGTAGTGGACGGCCGTGGCTTCGACGGCCTACGTCAGGCTGTCATGGGATAGCATGACGGCCTTCGGGTTGCCGGTCGTCCCGCTCGTGTAGAAGAGCGTGCAGCAGTTGCCTGGCTTCTGGGCGTCCATGCGGGCTTCCAGCACCGCGTCGTCCACGCCGGCGCCGGTCGCTAAAAAATCGGCAAACGAGTACACGAGTATTGCTCACGAGTATTGCTCGCGGTGTACACCCCCGCAGGAATGCACCCGCCGACGATCGCGCCCATGTTGGCAGTCACCCACTCGATCGAGTTGAACCCGATGATGTTGATCACGTCGAACGGCGCGAGATCAAGGTGGATGAGCGCTTTTGCAAACGCGCGGCAGTCGGCGTAATACTGGGACCACGTCTTGTGCGTGTACTCGGTCGCGCCGACTGCATTCGTATAATAAATAGACCGGGCTGTCTGGTACGCCTCCACTACCTTATACCAAGATAATTAGTTATTGCAGGATAGCGTAATTTTATTCAAGGAGGCATACGGCAAGATTCTGAGTCGCGCCATTATTGTGGGACGGAGGGAGTACATTCCTATATTGAAACGTCAAGGAGTTTCAAATACTACAA